GCCTTCATTGTTACTCACTAACGTTAAAAAATACCAATGTCAAAAATACCAATCAAACAGATCATTATTCGGCCAAGAAGTTTAGTTTGAGGTATATCGATTATATGACATCGTTCAATAACGGTAAAAGGCGTTCTCCTGAGTTACTCCCCTTGGCGTGTTCCACAAAGCGATCCTGTATTATGTCCAGCAGTGAAAAGGCGATCGGAGGTGAGGTGAGGTGAAATTGGGTTTAACGTCGTACTTGAGAATATTTCGCTCATATGACGACGTGCATGCATGTGTATGTGTATGTGCGGCTGCTTGTACTAGCCCAGACTGAAGCTGGTTTTATAGTGCTAGCCCACTCAGATACCATGCCGCAGTGAAGCATGAATACCCCACTCAGACACATTATACTGACTCCGAGCGACCAGTCCTTGATGTACCCATTAATGCCGAGCGCCAGGCAGGGACCAACAAGTACCATATTTTAACGTATTTTGGTATGACGCGGTCGGGGATCGAACCCGCGACCTTCCGCTCTCCGGGCGGACGCTCTAACCTGGAATAATGCCGATGTGACGTAAAACCCAACTCAACTAACTCAACTCAGAAATCAAGACCTATCTCTTCCGCCAAGCTTTCCACTGAATCTTTTTCGCCCTGTTCCCTTTATTTTTTCGAGAATGGCAAAGAGCATTGCAAATTGTCTTTTATGTATTAAATATTTTCTCACCACATCTGCGTGTTTGTATTAATCGAGACAGAACAGTCACCATTTGAAGGAACAGTCAGCCTTCTTGCACCAAGTGCCCAGAGGGTATATCACAGATATTCATCACGTTATCAATTTCATTTGCATATATTTCTAAACTATTCAGGGAAGTGATTACACAATGCCCTTTAGAAAGTGGTCAAATGCAACATATGTTATATTTGGGATTACACTTTCTTAGTAAAGTACAAATTCTAGTACTTTTTTGGGTTGAGTCCCATCCGGAATTCGAACCCACACCCTCAGAGTCCGGGCATTGTGGAAATGAAGAAGAGGTTGTGCTCAAGCATTAGCTGGTTACAGATGCACCCCCATAGTCAGAGGTCACATTGATACTTCAAACAAAATGCTTTATGTGGTTGAACAAGTACTGTTTGTGATTTTGAAAAAAAAAGATAAGTTGACGTGAATGTTTGCACTTTATTCAAGTTGAAAACAAATACAAGAATACATTGACAAGATATTATGCAAATCTTACAAGTGGTCTGTGTTCATAGTTAGAAAACTGAGGAAGCAATACAGGCATGTGTAGGCCACATTGTCATAAGTATTATTGATTTTCACGTATTATCAGTACATCGATATGGTGACAGTTATCTTTGATGTATTTTGGAGGTACTAGGCGTTTTGTACAACTAAATGATGATTTTCTATGTTCATTGCAGGTGACGATGGGAAGAAAAAGCCACTTCCTAAATTCAGCAGTTTCGTCGGAGCGGCCGACATTGAGGAACGCCCGTCCTCTACTATGGTATGGTGTTATAGCGAGGAACATTTAGACAATCTGATAAGGGAGTTCGAGTACATGTTTCTTGGCCACAACAAGTGGTTAGATTTGTACCTTTTGTGACCAAAGGTGTGCAGTTGTAGCCTTTATTACGAATGTAAATAAATAAATGTTGATTAACCTGCCACTTGTCACTTAAACATATCAACATCCGCATGGGCCCGCTATCTGGACCCACTTATTGCAGGAACCGCTGTCAGCAATGGTCAGTATAGAACCGGACCACACCCATCGGCTGCTAATCATCATGGAAAACTGGTTTCAATATCACGTACCAATTGCCAATCAGAAATATTTCGCTGCAAACAACAATGTGTTATCTTTAATTACAGCTACAACCGGTTACTCGGTCATGTTTGGTTTAGCCCTTTTCAAACAGGGAAGTCCATAAATTTCCTTCCGAGTCATACTTAAACTAGTGGGTGAAACTGACACTGTCTACACGGAAACATGCCTCAAAAGCGGTAGTGTTAAGTTTGACGAGAGTAACTATGCCTTACAAAGTAACTTCCTATCGCCCGCTACATATTTACATTCGTATCCGGGTACCGGTGAATGTTAGGTTTAATGTCGTCCTATCCCAAGCAGACATGGAGAAAAAGCTGTCTCATTTGGATAGACAGTATTGAGTCACATACTCCCGAATGACAGACGGACATTTTTATTTCTTCAAAATCTTTAAGAAATGCATTTCTTCTGTAACATATCTAAATGGGTTTATGAACTCCAATGCATAGTACAGGCCGAAATAAAAGCCGCTTCACTTAAATACCATGCGACAAGCTTAGTGTTATGGCAGAATTTTAGTTTTACTAATCAATATAGGAAACTAATTTTACTTCACTGGTTGCTTTTCCTGAATTACCCCGAAAATGAATCTTGACCATAGGCCTATATCATTTGAGGCATATGATGGCGGGCTATAAATAGTCCAGACAATCAAACGATTAAGGAGCAATGACCCACACAGTTGGGATATTGTATCAATCACTGGAGTGTGTGGCCGTCGTCACATCAGACATTTTGCTCAATGGGGGAAACAAACAAATCATTTTAACCTTTAATATGAAATACAGTGATGTAAGTGTTCAAAGCGGTATTAAGCCAATCTTACTAACTCCTGGTGCTAAATTCAGTCAATGTAAAAGTAGACAATATACAATATATTAAATATTTCTATTTTCTCTATTCATGTTTTCAGGATGTTGTGTCCCTGATCGGAAAACGGCGTCCTATCAAGATACATATTGGCTGGATGCACAAGGTCGGAGACAAGTACCGCCAAGTCAGACGCAAATATGGCGGTGGCACAAGGGAGCTCATTCTAGACAACTTGAACATATATCCGGCGGATATAGTTCAAAGGGCCATTACTCTCTTCTTCCCAGGGGGCGCTTCACAGGTCGTCAGTGTGGACGAAGTGGAATCGTTTGCGTTGGGTAACTTTTGTGGCGAAGAACTTCTTCGATTCAATGACGACGGTGGGAATGAGTGTTCTTTAGGACAATATCTCAAAGCTCAAGGAACATACGCGTCCAGGTGCTATATTTATCTATTGACAAAAAAGAAAGCCACGCGAACTGTTCATGCGGTAGCAAGGGACGCTCCATCCCGTCGTAGACGCAATCCAAAATCTGCCTTTCAGTCGTCAGAGCCAGGAGTGCGGCATCCTTACGAATCAGATCTGTATCATCAACCCAAAGAATGCAAACAGTCACAGAGCTCTGTCTGTCTGACATCTGGGATGATTCCAAACAGCCATGACACCCAGACATCCCGACTTCTGCCTACCGATAAGCTTGGATTCATCCTGGAGGACAAATCTGGGTTGGAGATCAGATACACCTTTGATCCCTCGTCACCTTTCGCTGACCTCGTGCCAGTGGATGCAGAATTTACATGGCAAGACTGTCTGGGACTTCTCGCGATTTCGATTCCCAAATATCAGTGATGCCCACTTTGAACCCACGGATCACGAGTTCGTTGTGAAGAGGATACAGAAAAAGAGACATGTATTTGTGAACACGGAACTGGCTGTCGAATCTGGAAAGACTGTATTTATATTCCCCATGGAGTCTCCTTCTTCTGGGTTCATTGTACATCATCCTTCCGAGTTGTGGGGGTACGACAGAGATCAAATTGTCCTTGGCGTTATTGCCAGTTGCCATGGTCTTTCCAAACCGAAGTACTCCTGGTACAGGGACGAAGCTGTATATAAGGAAGGTTTGAACCTCTGCTGTATTACCGTAAACATGCCTGGCGTTTACTACTGCAGGATCGAATTTGGGAGCTGCTATGATATCTCTCATCCACTGCACATCGTAGAGTTTAGTGACTGTTCATTCAAGAGACCAAAGCTTGAGATGGCGCCTACAGATGTTAACGCAAACTGTTGTCAAGATGTTGCTGATGCAAATAATTTGCCATCCCGAATTATTCCGTCAGTTAACAGAGAGCACTTAGACGTTGATTTCACCGGAAATGTTTGCAGTGGTACATATGGTACGGTGTATCGGGGTAGCTGGCTGGCCACGGACGTGCATGTGGAAATTGTCAGCCTCACAGACATGGATGGAGACGACTTCGTGCAGTGTATTCGTGAAGTGAACAGCCGAATACGCCATCCAAATATACTGTGTCTTATGGCGTGTGTCGAAAACGACAAAACCTTGATGCTTCTCTCGGAATATCACGAAGGTGCGACGCTGGAAGCGGTAACGTTCAGTGCAGAGACTAGGCAATATATGTGCCTCGACACCTTCCATAAACACATCGTTGCTAAGCAGTGTTGCCAAGCATTGGTCTACCTTCACGCGCTTTCGCCTCCCATCATGCACCGCAGTATACATCCGGGTAGTGTGTGGGTATTGAACGAGGGTGCAACTGCAAAGCTCAGCAGTCCGCATGTGTCACAGGGTACGACTAGGAGCAATGATGAGATGGCGCTGTATCTGCCTCCTGAAGTATTGGTTTCTCAACAGGATGGGGACCTGGCTGCTGACATTTGGGGGATGGGTGCAACCCTCACAGAGATGTTCACGGAGAGTCGGCTCTGGGGTAAGCTCATGCAGCATCCCGCACCGATTGATGTTGTAACGAAACAGTTGGAATTTGGTCAAAGTCCTGTGTCTTTACAGTCTTTGGACATGCACAGGGAGATTATTACTGCCTGCTTGAATATGGATCCGTCACTGAGGCCTTCTGCCATGCAGTTGCTGTCTTACCTCAAAGAATAGCCATGTATATATATGACAATATATACGGTTCTATTACCATCTTTCAATTTGTGGTCATATTGAACAATTGTGAAGAAACACTATTAAAATGACGCAAGAACATGGGTGTCCTAGTCATCATGGTTACTGCAATCTGCCGTGCAGAGTTACGTCCCTTAGGAGTGCCAGGAAGTTATGATCGTATGTTCTAATCTCAGTTCATCATATTTTGTTCCAAGGTATGTCAAGGTCAGCACCACATCTGTGTTCGACTGACGTTATTACATTTCCCATTCTCTCCTTACGGGAAATATAGGATTATCTGAACACAAGAAAACAAGGATAATTCAGATGTTAACATAAATATATATTATATATATTCTATAACATTTAACAGATTTGTTTATTCGACATTATACCCTTTGACATTATTTCACATTTGTCCAATTTTAGTGAAATTTTCACAATTCCCTGTCCACTTTCGACTACAAGCTGTGAACAGTGTCGGGCAAACCGGTGGCTGATATTGTGAGCGCTGTGCTTGGCGACCGGGCTACTATGACATGCAACCAACATAGCTGATTAGCCTGACCTCTCGATCTCTGTTACGACTAGCATATTGTTATGTTTGAATGCGGCATCGTATAGTCATTCCTACCTTGGATGCGAGAACACTTCCGATGATGCTGAATCCATGGTGTATCAAACATACAACGTCAACGTGACAGGATAACAAATCTCGATTAACTTTTTGTTTGTTGTTAACTGACTGACTGACTGACTGAGTTTGGTTTTACGCCGCTTTTAGCAATATTCCAGCAACATCACGGCGGGGGACACCAGAAATGGGCTTCACACATTGTGCCCATGTGGGGATTCGAACCCAGGTCTTCGTCGTGACGAGCCAACGCTTTAACCATTAGGCTACCCCACCGCCCTGTTTGTTGTTTAACGCCGCATACAGCAATATTCCAGCTATATGGCGGCGGTCTGTAAATATATAAGTGGACCAGATAATCCAGTGATCAACAGTATGAGCATCAACCTACGCAATTGGGATACGATGGCTTGTGTCAAGTTACTGTCAACCAAGTCAGCGATCCTGACCACCTGTCAGTCGCCTCTTACGGCAAGCATGGGTTGCTGAAGATCATATCCAGCCCGGATCTGTATCGGTCCTGGATTAACTGACGAAACAGCTTCCCTTGAGCTTAAAACGTAAAATAGAAGAAAAAGGTTTATATTTGGAACACTCTAAATCAGTGATGACACACATCTCCTTCCGATAAAACACACACACACGCACGCACGCACGCACGCACGCACGCACGCACGCACACACACAGTGCATACAAAGTACGTGACTGTCTTTGCCTGATGTCAACCAGCAGTACTCCTGCCATGCGACGGCGGCCTATGGACAAACAAGGAAGACAATCGAGTGATACTGTGACGCGCTAGTGCATTTTACTAATTAAAAATATGTGTATTTTGAATTACGTTTGCTGTGTAAAAAGAGCAGCTATTTGGCTGATTATAAGTAGAGACAAATGTTTCAGAAATAGCTTCGGTTTGCAACAGAGTGGTTGTGGGTGGGGGCGGGGCAGTTTCAATGACACAGCTGTTCTTGTTGGCTACAACTATTGAAACTTACACCAGCATTGACTGAAGATAGTCCCTGCTGTTAACAATGAAACTACTTTACATAAAAAGACCAACGAACTAAATATAGACAATCAATTCAATGTTCAATTAAATTAAATAGTAGGTGAGAATGCCGGATTCGCTTTGAGTGTGATCTTTGATATGGTTTCGCTTGAACTACTTTGTCCTTTCGTCCTGGGGCGGTGGGGTAGCCTAGTGGTTAAAGCTTTTGCTCATCACGCCGAAGACCCGGGTTCGATTCCCCACGTGGGTACAATGTGTGGAGTCCATTTCTGGTGTTCCCCGCCGTGATATTGCAGGAATACTGCTAAAAGCGGCGCAAAACCAAACTCACTCACTCTTTTCCTTCGTCACAAGTTGTAACGCCTTGATGATTTAACTGGAATTATTCAGTGACTGTTGAAAGTTGCGTTCAACCTCAGTCGCTCATACACTGCGTGCGGTATCTCATTCTGGTTACAGTCATACTTCTCCTAAACAACCCAAACACTCCCTTATTTCTCTCTATAACGACCCGTGAAGCTCCGGGTTAGAATATTTTGGCCTTCAGTAACCCATGCTTGTCGTAAGAGGCGACTAACGGGATCGGGTGGTCAGGCTCGCTGACTTGGTTGACACATGCCATCGGTTCCCAATTGCGCAGGTCGATGCTCATGTTGTTGATCACTGGATTGTCTGGTCCAGACTCGATTATTTACAGACCGCGGCCATATACATGTAGCTGGAATATTGCTGAGTGCGGCGTAAAACTAAACTCACTCACTCACTCTCTCTATAACACAAGGCGAATGTCCATGTTATGATAGCAAGGCACCCCAGTATTGTACTAGGCTTACACTAGATACGTCTGGTAGTCAGTGGGATAACATGCATTACGGTAAAAAGCTATATATACTCATGCCAATAATGGTTGTCACACCCTCCCCCCCAACCCCAACCCCACTCACACCCCCCCCACACCCACTGTACGAGGACTCTGTGTCTGAGGACTACATTTGTCACTCTGAAAGGGCACTTGGCCCAGTCGGCTTCAGCACAACAAATCAGGGTCTCTTAATATTACTGTTATGCTGTTATATTATATTGGCTTTGAGGGAAACGCTTTGCATTTGGGAACATTTTTGCGTAAAAACACGAATCCATTGAAGCTGTCGTACAATCGTGCTCATGGTTCTACTGTTAACAGTCAAATATCATCAATTTTGAAACACAGGGAGCGTTTTCGCAAGGAGTTTGAGATACACAGCTGAAACATCTATACACCTGTCCACTATATGTTTCAATATAAAACAGTCACATTACAAACTGGTATGTTGTGTAAATTTGTAAACATTTGTTCATGTAATATTTCACCTTACCCATCTGCTCCTTGCACTGATTAATAACGAGAGATTTAAGTTGAACACTTGAGTACGTAAAACATAAAAAAACGCGGCGCTCGAGATGTACAATACACGTTCTCCAGTGTCCATTCACCTTTAACGTAAAGGTCAGACTTAAAAACAATATTACACACTGTATTATAATGCAGTATAGTTTATTGTTAAACAATGTTGTATCTCTTTTACACAGTACCCGTTGAGGTTCTGAAGAAGTTGGCATCAATGTGTTTTAACAGTAATCAGTTGTCAAGAATTTGTTACCATCTATATGATATAAGCATGCGCAGTTGTGAGGAAGTTTCCATATTTTGATGTATTCGTATCCAATCTTATACAATGTACTAGTACAGTGGCTTAGGTCCGATTTTGAGGTTGATCGTTACATGGACATGCTACGAAACATAAATCTTGTTTATTATGTTTCTTGAAAGTATTAGAAATAGCTCTTTGAACGGCGAATATATCCCACATATTGCAACAAATGAAGATTGTTTATAGTCGACGACCATTCTGGGTGGACTTGAGCACTCTTTGATTTTTGTCGGCCATCTTAGATTTTTGGGGAAAATAGCCCTATCACTTGCAGGGTTTCTGTGGGGAAAGTCATATAGTGTTAAATTTGGAAATCCTTGATTTTTGGGGGCACTTGGACGCAATCTTGTTTTTCAGAAAATGGGCCCCAAAATCCAGTGGGGAAATATGTTTTAGCATGATTTTCCATGAGTTTCATGCTTTAATCCGCCAAATATCTATTTTCAATTCTAAACCATAGACAAATCAAGCAAGGTATAGACAAATCAAGGCATATATAGACAAATCAAGCATGGTATAGACAAATCAAGCAAGGTATAGACAAATCAAGAATGGTATAGACAAATCAAGAATGGTATAGACAAATCAAGAATGGTATGGTATATGACAAATCAAGAATGTATAGACAAATCAAGAATGGTATAGACAAATCAAGAATGGTATAGACAAATCAAGCAAGGTATAGACAAATCAAGCATGGTATAGACAAATCAAGAATGTATAGACAAATCAAGAATGGTATAGACAAATCAAGAATGTATAGACAAATCAAGAATGGTATAGACAAATCAAGAATGGTATAGACAAATCAAGAAGGTATAGACAAATCAAGAATGGTATATAGACAAATCAAGTAAGGTATAGACAAATCAAGAATGGTATAGACAAATCAAGCAGGTATAGACAAAAATCAAAATCAAGCATGGTATAGACAAATCAAGAGTGGTATGAACAAATCAGAAAGGTATGTATGGTATAGACAAATCAAATCAAGAATGGTATAGACAAATCAAGTATAAACAAATCAAGAATGTATAGACAAATCAAGAATGGTATAGACAAATCAAGAATGGTATAGACAAATCAAGCATGGTATAGACAAATCAAGAATGGTATAGACAAATCAAGCAAGGTATAGACAAATCAAGAATGGTATAGACAAATCAAGAATGGTATAGACAAATCAAGAATGGTATAGACCAATCAAGAATGGTATAGACAAATCAAGCAAGGTATAGACAAATCAAGCAAGGTATAGACAAATCAAGCAATGGTATAGACAAATCAAGAATGAAGCATGGTGTAGACAAATCAAGCATGGTATAGACAAATCAAGAATGGTATAGACAAATCAAGCAATGGTATAGACAAATCAAGCAAGGTATAGACAAATCAAGCAAGGTATAGACAAATCAAGAATGGTATAGACAAATCAAGAATGGTGTTGACAAATCAAGAATGGTATAGACCAATCAAGAATGGTATAGACCAATCAAGCAAGGTATAGACAATCAAGCAAGGTATAGACAAATCAAGAATGGTATAGACAAATCAAGCATGGTATAGACAAATCAAGCATGGTATAGACAAATCAAGCATGGTATAGACAAATCAAGCATGGTATAGACAAATCAAGAATGGTATAGACAAATCAAGAATGGTATAGACAAATCAAGCAAGGTATAGACAAATCAAGAATGGTATAGACAAATCAAGCAAGGTATAGACAAATCAAGCATGGTATAGACAAATCAAGAATGGTATAGACAAATCAAGCATGGTATAGACAAATCAAGCAATGGTATAGACAAATCAAGCAAGGTATAGACAAATCAAGAATGGTATAGACAAATCAAGAATGGTATAGACAAATCAAGAATGG